ATGATCTGTTGTTGAAAATGAATTGACCACTGCGTGTTTCTTCCTATACCACATTTCTCTTTTCAATACTTTAAAAAACTTTATTTTGGAAAATTTCAAATTTTTTACAAGAGTGGAGAGAACTCATACTGAGCGTATTCATCAAGCAGCAGGGATGGTCTGCTACCAACAGCGGCTGAGCAGGTGTCACTCACACCCCAGCTGCTCCCTGGATTAGGATCAAGCGAACCACGGGCAAGTCATTCCCTCCCATGGGTGAGCCTGTGTCCCTAAAATGTGTGGACTTAAAAAAAAACAGCTTTTTATGGTTTTTACTTAATTTTTGGGTTGGACTGAGGGACTTTAATTAATGTAAAGAAGTATTAACTACAACAGTGAAAGGAGGATCTCGGGATTGAGGAAGCACCCCCAGGGGGCACCCCAGATATGGGGTGTTCAGGCCTCATTGAGAAGGTGTGTTCAGCCCCTGGGATGTGGAGATGGTCACTGAGTTTCCCAGCCTCTGGCCGAGCTGAGCAGAAACAAAGGGACACATTGGAACCCAGGAAGCAGAAGCCCTCACTCTGGCAGGTGCCCCGTGCTGGCTGGGAAGGAGAGGAGCTGGAAGGGTCCAGCCTGCCGAGTGGAGCAGGCCCGGACACGCTGCCTAGACCCCCGCCTGGCCTCCAGTACCGAGCACCAAGTACCGAGCACCAAGTGGCGGGTAACGCTGCGGCCGGAGCTACTGCATCTCCCGCCGAGACTCCCGGACGTCTGGGTGTGTGATGAGCCCCAGACACATTGTGATCACTGTTGTCTGAACTGTCAATTCTCTTTTAAAGCTATTTCAAGAGTAAGACGAGCCCTGCGTTTCTGCCTCGCAGTAGCCACTTCCTGTGCTTTCTGTTCCGTCGCGTGGACCCATGTGACCATCTGGTATCGTTTTCCTCTGGCCTGAAAGACACTTTTCCACATTTCTTACAGTGGGGTCAGCTGGCAAGGAATTCCCTCAGCTTGTGTGTGTCTGCGAAAGTCTCTACTAACTTTCATTTCTAAAAGGTTGTTTTGCAGGGTTTGGAATTTCACGTTGAGGTCTTCTCTGCCGGTGCTTTGAGGATGCGACCTGCCGTCCCCTCCTCCGTGTTCCTGGCGTGGCGTCTGCCCTCACAGAGGCCTCTGCTCTTTGTGCCCAGTGCTCTTTTCTCTGCGGCTTTTAAGATGATTTTGCTTCTTGCCAGTTGTGGGCAATTTCATTATGATGTGTCTTGGGGTAATTTTCTTCCTGTTTCTGATGCTTGGGGTTCATTGACTTCTTTTTTTTCTGGATATAAGTCTTTGTTGTTTTATTTTTATTTTTTTTAATCGAAGTACAGTCAGTTTACAGTGTTGTGTCAATTTCTGGTGCACAGCTTAATGTTTCAGTCATACATGTACATGCATATATTTTCATACTGTTTTTCATTATAGGTTACTACAAGATAGTGAATACAGTTCCCTGTGCTATAGAGTAGGACCTTATTGTTTATCTATTTTATATGTATTAGTTAATATCTGCAAATAGCAAACTCCCAATTTATCCCTTCCCACCCCTTTCCCCTCAAGTAACCAAAAGTTTATTTTCTGTGTCTTCGAGTCTGTTTCTGTTTTGTAAATAACTTCATTGGTGTCTTTTTTTTTTTTAGATTCCACATATGAGTGATATCATATGGCATTTTTCTTTCTCTTTCTGGCTTCCTTCACTTAAAATGACAACCTCCAGGTCCATCCATGTTGTTGCAAATGGCATTATTTTATTTTTTATGGCTGAGTAGTATTCTATTATATAAATATAACACAACTTCTTTATCCAGTCATCTACTGATGGACATTTAGGTTGTTTCTATGTCTTGGCTATTGTAAACAGAGCTGCTGTGAACATTGTGGTGCATGTATCTTCATTGACTACTTGAATCTGTAGATTTACAGTTTTCATTAAGTTTGGACATATTTCTGCTATTATTTCTTACATTTTTTTTCTGTGTCACCTCCTTTACCCTCCTATTCTTTAAGTTCCCAGTTACACATGTTAAACCTCTTGAAATACCTAAATATTTAATTTTTATTTTGGTACTATTGTAAATGGTACTGGTTTTTAAAAATCTGTGTTCCAATTTTTCATTGCTAGTGTTTAGAAACACAGTTGATTTTTTATGTTGTCCTTTTTTCTGTGACCTTGCTGAACTCAATTATTGTAAGTTATAAGAGATTTGTCTTAGCAAAAGTTTGGAATTTTCTGTGTGACCATCACGTTGTCTGTGAACACTAACAGGAAAGGGGACAGAGAACATCTTTGTCTTGTCTGTGATCTCAGGGGTATGTCCGGTCTTTGTCTGGATCACATTAAGTTCACACTAGGTGTGCTGTCAGCTGTAGGTTAGGTGTAGATGCCCTTTATCAGGTTGAGTTCCCTTCTATTCTTAGTTTGATAAGATTTTTTTCATTATTATGCATGGATTTGGATTTTGACAAATGCATTTTTATGTGTTGAGATGACCATATGTATTTTTCTTTAGTTTATTAATAAAGTGAATTATAATGATCGATTTCTGGCTGTTGGAGCAGCCTTGAATTCCTTGGGTAAACCCCACTTGTGATGTATCGTCCTCTTCATGTGTTGCTGGGTTGCATTTGCTAGCATCTAATTGAGGATTTTTATGCCCATGTTCATGAGGGATTTTTGTCTATAGTTTTCTCAAAATGTCTTTGGTTTTGGTATCAGGGTAATGCTGAACCTATAAATGAGTTGGCAATTTTAATTTTTAATTTTAATTTTAATTTTTTCGGTAGAGAGTCGATATTATTATTTCTTCTTTGAATCGGAAGAATTTACCAGCGAGGCCATCTGGGCCTGGGGCTGTTGTTGTCGTGGAACAGATATAGGACTAAACATGTTGTCTGTTTTTTCTTGAGTGAGTTTTGGTAGTTCATGTCATTCGAGGACTTGGTCCATTTCATCTAAATTGTTGACTTTGTGGGGTTAGTATTTGCGTTACTTTGTTTGGGCTGCCATAACAAAATCCCACGGACTGGGTGGCTTAAACAATAGAAATTTATTTCTCACAGTCTGGAGGCTGGAAGCCTGAGGTCAAGGTGCCTGCTGGTGCGGCTTCTGGTGAGAGCTGTCCTCTTAGCTTGCACATGGCAGAGAGAGAGCTCTCCTGTCTCTTCCTCTTCTTGTCAGGACAACAGTTCCAGCAGGTCAGGGCCTCTCTGACCATAGCCAGCGCCTTAAAGGCCCTGTCTCCAGTACAGTCAAATGGGGGATTGGCGCTTCATCGTATAACTTTTGTGGGAACACAGCTAAGTTCACGGCGGTGTCTCTCATTGTCCTTCTAACGTCTGTGGGATCTGTAGTGATGTCCCTCCTTTTGCTCCTGATATTGGTCATTTGTGTTTCCTCACTCTTGATCAGTCTGGCTAGAGGCTTATTCATTTTGTTAGTCTTTTCAAAGAACCAACTTTCAGTTTCATCAGTTTTTCTTTTTCTATTCCAAGTTTCACTGATTTTTCCTCCTTATTGTTTTCATCTTTCTGGTTGATGTGGATTTATTTTCTCTTCTTCTGGTTACTTAAAGTGGAAGCTTAATTACCCATTTGAAACCTTTATTTTTTTCTAATGTAAACATTTGATGCTGCCAGTGTCCATCAGACCACGCAGTTGTAGCCCATGAAGTTTGATATGTTATATTTTCATTCGGCTCAAAACATTTTTAAGTTTCTCTGAGACTTCCTCTTTGATCCATGGTTACTTAGAAGCAGATTGCTTACCAAATAGTTGGAAGTTTTCCATGTATCTTTCTAGTTTAATTCCATCTTATTAGAGAACATACTTTGTATGGTTATTATTCTCTCAACTTTGTTAAGGGTTGTTTTCGGTCCTAGAATGCAGTCTACTTGATGGTTGGGCCATGCACAGAGACCGCGTGCTCTGCTGTTGCTGGACACCGTGGTCTATACATTTCACTCAGTCTGTGTCTGCTGTGTGAAAAGTCTACATCCTTTGTGACTGGCTGTCTACAAAGTGTGTTTCTTATATTTCAGGTGGGTCCATGACATGTTTCTGACGTTTTCACTGCACTTTCTGAACAGAGTGGAAATTTCGTGTTTGAGTAATGTGCTTCCTTGTCCAGGCTGCACGTGCTTGAGACCAGGGGAGGGGTCCTAACCACCTCTCCCTGTCTGTTGGCCCAGAGCCTGGCACTGAGTAGTTGCGACTGGTCTGCAGGACATTTGTGAGGGAGCAGACATCCTCACTGCACGGGAAAAACCAAGATTCTGATGGCCTCCTTGAGGTGATGGGTGCGCTGACCAGCTCGGGGCACAGACACTGGATTGCTCCTCAGGGTCAGCTGTCTGCGTCCAGCACTGCTGGTGGAGGCCAGCAGGGATGGTCAGCAGGGCTCGTACAGCTGTGAGTTAGTGGCGTAAGTGGAAACATTGTGGAGTTAGGAGAGATTTTATGAAGAGAAGAGGAAGTACCGGGCCATAAAGGGGGGCCTCGGAAGGGGCGTGGATAGGGCACAAGCACTGAGAGGATGCACGCGGCCCCACACACCTGCGCAGACCCTGCCCCAGCACTCAGTCCTCACTCTGTGGCCGCGTGTCCTGCTCCGGACGCCTGTGGCGTTCCTCTGTCTTCTGGTGGCTCTGGGAGCTTATCTGCCATCAGCTCTGGGAGCACAGGGCTGTTTCTCTATAGGAGGGGGTGGTGTGGGTCCTGGGGCCAGGCTGGGGGCCATGCTGCTGCCCAGTGAAGGGCTGCGTCCTCCTCGCCAGGCCCTTGGGCATCTTCCTGCTGAGTGGGGGAGGTGTGAGGCTCATGCTGGCCATGCCCTTGGTCATCACTGCAGGGGACAGAGTCATGCATTGCCTGGGGCTGGGGCACCTCCACTGACCGCGGCTGCCGTCCGGGTGGTTTGTGGATGGTGTGGACACGGGGAGCTCTTCAATGGGACCAACTTGATGCTCCCTTCCTTTTTTAGGGCCCAAGACGATGATTCCGCCGGGGGAGTGCTTGTATGCGGGGAGGAAGAGGAGGAAGCCCGTTCAGAAACAGTAAAGTATCATGTCTTCTGTCTCTGCTGCTACTGATGAAAGGGAGGCATTTGTGTTTTCATTGAAAAAAAGTGAATTCTAGGGACAAAGCGAGTGAGGGTGAGCCTCCCTGTGGCAGGGAGGGACCCGGCGACAGCGGGAGTGGGCCTGGGCTGGTGTGCGTGGCTCCCGACAGCTGGAGCCCGCCTGGCCTTTCTTCCTGGGTTGATGGTGACGAGGGCTCTTCCCGGCTCCGGCAGGAAGGTGAGGTCCAGCCTCTCTTGGCCAGAAGCCAGCACCGAGGGCTGAGCTGCCTGTTTGGGTGAGCTCCGGCCCCTCCCTGCCCTGGGGCCGTCCCCAGCTGGACACACCCACAGTGCCTCTGGGCTTTGCCCCAAGTGGAAGAAGTTGGGGTGAGGGGCTCATCCTCCTGGTCGTGGGCCTCTGGGAGGCTGAGTTAGAGAGTAGGGAGGGGACGCCCAGGCCCAGCCTCCACCAGCCCCGGGACACAGCACCACGGCCCGTGGCTGGCACAGGGGAGCTGAGGGCCACGAGGGCGTGGTCCACAGCTGCGGCCGGAATAACCGGGGTGTTGGAACTGCCCTGCTGGGAGGTCAGCAGAGAGTGGCTCCCAGAGCCCACAGGCTGCCTCCAGCTCCTGGAACAGGGGTCCTGCAGTACGTCCACTGGTGGCTGGGGCTATGGGGGTGTGTATGTGTGTGTGTGTGTGATACTGCTGTGTGAATGTGTAATATACAGCTCGATCTGTGTGTGAGCACGTGTGCGTGAGGCTCTGTGTGTGTGTGTGTGTGTCTGCACACGCGCAGTACTGTCTGTGTGTGGGTCAGGGTTTCTGTGACCCCGGCCACCCCCTGGCCTCTGGTGGCTGCAGGGTCCTTTGAGACTTCTGCAGCAAAGTGGGCACCACCTGCCCCACAATGGTGACAAAGGCTAGGGAGGCGGGGCCTCAGAAGGTGGTTTGTCACCTGCGTTGGCTGTGTGTCAGGAAACTCAGTCACCCAGAGATGCGACCATGTGCACCGAGATCTTTGGGGCCACATACAGCGTGTTCTGGGGGGCTTTGTGCCCCACGACCTGGGGGTGCTGTGTACATCAAGTTCTAGGGGACTGTGTACACCACATTCCGGGGTGCTTGCCAGTCTAGGGGCAGAGGAAGGAACTCCCTCCCTTATTATGTTTTTGTTCCAATGTCAGAGTCTGAGATAATGAGCTTTTGAGACGCTTTTATGAAACGATAAATTTTATTAACTGATGTTTTGAAGAGGTGAGACTCCGTGTGCTCAGACTCAGAGAGGACAGAGTCTTCCTCCCAGCCTGAGTGCCCCAGGCTCCCTGCCTGGATCCCTGCTGAGATGCTTAGTGCATTAGCCCAGGGGTGCGGTGTGGGCGTGTGCACTCCCACCTCTGCCGGAGCGGCCGCGTCCACACACCCCGCCCAGCGCCCTAGACCTTCCACCTCGGTTCCTTGTGCGCCTGTGCAGGGTGCCCCCTGACCCGTGGTTTCCAGCCCTCTGCCGGCGCCCCTCAGACCGTCCCGCAGACGTCGCGGCATGAATGGCTTTGTGCCTGGTGTTGGCACGTGCTCGTTGTTGGAGAGGCCGCCGCCGTGGCCGAGCTGGTACCTTCCCTCTCAGGCCGAGCCGGCTCATTTGGGGATCACTGTGGAAGTGGTGGATCCCTCTGCTTGGACACAGACCCTGCACCTGCAGCCCCGGCCCAGACCCTCTGCGTCCCCCTGGACTTGGGGACCTGGGTCGGTGAGGCAGACAGCAGAGCTCTCGCTGCCTGCCGAGCCGTGAGCAGTCAGCGTCTCCCAGGACCTGTGAACAGCAGCAGTTACCAGCTGGCGAGCAGTAACGCAAGGCCAGACCCAGCAGGCACGCGCAGGCCCTTGGGATTGCATGGTGTCACCAAACCGGCCAGCGTCGAGGTGTGCCTCAGACGTCGGTGCCTCTGCGTGTTCTTCTCACACGGGAGGCTTGGCAGCCACTGGGCTCCCTTTTCTGTGTTGCTGACTTTTGCTCATTTCTCTGTCTCGTGCTTAAGTCTTTGTGCCTCTCGATTTGTTGGACACTGAGGAGACTGATCCTTGAATGTGTTTCAGGTAACTTTCCCCAGTTTTGAGGTTACTTACGGTGTTCTCTGCCATGCAGAAAACATTTAATTTTTATAAAGTCGACTTTATTAATCATTTCCTTTGTGGCTAATTAATTTTATGTCACAATTAGAAAGATCTTCCCTGCTTCAATTTTATGAGAATTTTCCCAATATTTCTTCTAAAATTTTATGGATCCCTTAATATATATATATATATATATATATATATTTATATATTTAAATCTTTTGAACACTTGCAGTTTTCCTGGTATAGGTGTTGGGCCTGAATCTCTTTCCTTTCCCCTCCAGCCACGGGTTGCTCCCAGTCCTCCTACTGAAGAATCAGTGCTTTCCTCACTGGGCAATTTTGGACTTGTGATTTGAGGGACAGTGAGAGCCAGTGGAGTAACATGGACACAGGGCCACAGCACTTCCCCTCCCCTGGTGGTGCCTGCAGACGCCCCGAGGGACGTGGCCGGGCTGGCTTGTCCGAGCGCTGGCGTCTGTGTGTCATGAAGGCTGGGTGTGTGCACGTGTGCAGGGCACCAGGCCCACAGCCCTTCCGGGTTGTCCCTGCACCCACTGCTCCGTGCCCCATGGCCCAGCTGCGGTCCTGGCCTCCTCACCATACCGGGGCCTGTGGGCTGTGGTCTGGCCCCGTTCTCCAGGTGGGCGATGGAAGTCCTGGAGCCCTCGATGACCTCGGAGGTGGAGGTCGTCCGTCCTCAGAGCACCTGGCCCCTGGAACCTGCTCCCCAAGGCCCCTCAGGGCTGGACGCTGCGCTGGTGGGAGCCTCTCCCGTGGGGTGTGGGTGCAACAGTGGGTCCGTGCTCTCCAGGGTCTGCAGCCCGAGCTCACGAGGTGTGAGTGGTGGGGCTGCCCTCTCTTCTTTGCATTTCCCGTCTTTACTGGGCTGTGACAAAAGCACCCAGGACTGCATCCATTTAAAGTGCACAACTGGATGGGGTTTGGGATGTGTGATCACCTGAGTAACCACTGCCGAAGTTGAGGTCAAGACGCTCCCGTACGCCCAGCGTCTCCTTGTGCCTTGTCCTCGCTCTGGTGACCTCGCCTGTGCGCCTGCCCTGGAGACTGGTTTGCAGTTCCTGGGACTTTGTATAAACGGGATCCTGCAGCGTGCTGGGGCTTCTCCCCGTGCCATGGGGCAGCTGACTCCTCCCCGGCTCGTGTACGGAGCGTGTCCTCCTTACGCCATGTGGTGCTCCGTTGTGCGACGAGCCGCGTTTGTCTGTTTATCTGCAGGTGGACTTCTGGGTTGCTCCCAGCTTGTGGTGTTGTGAATGAAGCGGCGGCGTCTATGTGTGAGCCTCTGGATGCATGTTTTCATTTCTTTGGGGTGAACACCTAGGAGAGTGATTGCTGGGTCCTGCATAGAGTAGATGTGTGTTTGACTTTTTAAGAAAACACCAGACCTGTTTTCAGAGCAGTTGTACCACTTACATTCCTGGAAGCCGTGGGCGAGACTTCTAGCTCCTCCACACTCACCGAGGCCTGGGATGGCCAGTCTTGGTTCCAGCAGTCCTGCTGGGTTGTGGTGGTAGCTCACCGTGGTTTTGATTCGCGTTTCCCTGGTGACTCTTGGTGTTGCGTCTTCTCGTGGGCTTTCCTGATGTCCATATGTCTTCTCTGGTGAAGTGTTCGTCTGCGTGCTGTGCCTGCCTTCTTGTTGGGTTCTTTGTCTGCTTGTGGAACTGTGAGACGTTCACATGTTCTGGATACAGCCTCTTGTGAATATTTTTATCCAGTCTCTGGCTTCCCTTTTCATTTTCTTAATGGTGACTTTCAAAAGACATTTTAAAAGGTTTGAAAAAGATTAATTTAACAATTTTTTCTTTTATGATTTTTTTAATGTGTCCTTAGAGTCCCAGGACTACTCCAAGGTCTCAAAGATTTTCTCACGTATTTTCTGGTAGAGTTCCACGGCATGTTGCAGATTTAGGTCCGTGATCTGTTCTGTAGATCAGTTTTGGGAGTAACGCCGTCTTCACCGTGTTGGGTCTGACAGTCAACGAACATGGTGTATCTTTCCATTTGTGTCTTTGTACATTTTCTCAGCAATGTTTCATGGCTTCCGTTTAGGTGTCTGGGATGTCTGTTGCTAGACTCCTCCGGGTATTTTGTTTTTGGCTCCTTTTGTCACTCTCCTTCCCCTGAGCTGGCCACGGCTCCTCCTGTGCTCCCGTGCAGATGGGCCGGATCCTTGTCCCCTCACCTCCTGCTGAGTCTCCGCCTTGGAGAATTGGAAGTTCCCCCACCTGCCCCTCAACCCCACCCCCTCACCGGCCTGGCCACGGCCCTGGAACTGGGGAGGGCGATGCCGGGGCTGGAGCTGCATGAAGGGGCAGCCAGGTGTTCTGAGAAGCTGGGAGGAGTACATTTCTCCCGACGCCCATCTCTTCAGCCGTTTGCCTCTTCTCCCAGGTGCCCCACGGGGCTGGCGCGGAGGGCAGTCGCGGCTCAGCCGGGTCCTAGGCACAGCCTGTCAGGGCGGGGGGTGGGCAAGTGGGCGACTGCTCCCTGCAGGTCCGCACAGAGGTGAGATTTGGGCCCAGCCGTCTCCCCTCTACTCTGACCCCCGCCCTGCCTGCCGTGCTGCCTTGTTTTCTGGGGAAGTGTGAGTGTCTTTCATTGCTTGGGTGGGCCTCTCCTCTGGCCAGCAAGTGCCAGTCCACACGGGAGTCTGCTCAGTCCATCCCCAGGCCTCCTGCCTATTTAAATTTTGGCTAGCAGTGTGAGTAATGTTGGTAGGTGCCTCATTAAGGGAGAAAAAGAAACAGCAGAAAGTGACAGGATAACCAGAGAATGGGAGAACATAATTGCAAATTGTATATCTGATAAGGATCTAATATCCCAAGTATATAAAGCTTGCCTACAATTCAACAACAGAAAGACAAACAACCCAATTTAAAAATGGGCAAAGGGCTTCAGTAGCTATTTCTCCACAGAAGTTACAGACGTGGCCACCAGCACATGAAAAGTTGCTCAACTCTACTGTTCGTTAAGGAAATGGAAATCAAACCACAATGAGACACTGCTTCATGCCTATGAGAACAGCTATTATGAAAAATGAAGGAGAATAGCGAGTGTAGGTGAGGCTGTGGGGTGTGGCTGGTGGAGACATAACATGGTGTAAAGTTGTGGCCTCAGAGTTCATGGGCCGTGGACTACTACTCAGCTGTGAAAAGGAGTGAAGCTCTGACAAAGGCTGCACCATGGTGAACCTTGAACACATGATCTTAAGTGAAGGAAGCCAGCATGAAAAGCCTTGTGTTGTGTGATTTCATTTACGTGGAATGTCTGAAACATTAAAGCCCTAGAGGTATGAAGTAGGTTATGGTGGCTGGGGCTGAGAGGAGGGTAAGATGGAGAGAAATGCTGGTGGGGGTGGGGTCTTACTTGGGGTGATGAAGATATTTTGTGACTTGACAGAGGTGGTGGTAACACAAAACTGTGAATGTTCTAAGTGACACCGAACCGTACACTTCAAAACAATTTTATGTGAATTCATCTCAATTAAAGAGAAAATTTTAAATCAGCCATAAATTTAATCAATCAATCAATCAATCAATCAAACTTAAAAAGAGAAGTAGCTTCTGAGATTGGAGCTGCAGGCTCTTCTGTGGTTTTGTGTGGCCTCAGCCCCTGACAGTACAAAGCAGAGGTTGTCTGTCAGGGCCATTGTGTTGCTCCCACCCCAGAAAGAGTTGGCACAGAGAGGCCAGGAAGCGTGCTGGGGTCACACAGCTCTCCTGCTGCCTGGCCCCTGTCTCTCTGTGCTTTCCCCCCAGTACTGCCTTCCAGTGGCTGGCGTGGCTGGTGTGGCTGGTGGTTTCTGAGTTTGTGCATCTTCAGGAATGGATGCCCTTCCGTACTGCGTGGCACTTTCTTCCTGGCGGTGCTCCATTCTGAAGCTGATTGCTCCTCATAAGGTCACCGCCTGGGACAGGTTTCCACCTGAGGGCGGTGGCTCTGGGTGGGGAGTCCGTGCTTGACTGTGGTCTTTCCCCGCAGGAGGCCTGCCGTGGGGGCCGAGAAGTCAAACCCTTCCAAGCGGCACCGGGACCGCCTCAATGCTGAGCTGGACCACCTGGCCAGCCTGCTGCCGCTCCCGCCTGACATCATCTCTAAGCTGGACAAGCTCTCGGTCCTGCGTCTAAGTGTCAGTTACCTCAGGGTGAAGAGCTTCTTCCAAGGTAGGACTCAGCTGTGCCCACCTGCATGCAGCTGGCTCTCACCCGGGTCCCACCCAGCGTCGCTGGGTTGAGCCAGTCTGTGCCTCTCGTCCTGGGTGACGACTCGGAGGTGGAGTGCTAAGGCTGGGCGACAGGAGCAGACCTGGCGGGCGGCGTGGACTGGCCCTCACCCTGCTCGGCCTCACTTGCCCCTGGGGCTCTGGGGCCTCCTCCCAACCTTGCCTGTCCTGGGGATGCCGTGAGCTGAGTCCCAGCCGGGCACCAGCCCCTCTGCACAAGGTGGGCCGGTGTGTCAGAGCCTTGCAGTGGCTCTGGGTACCTGCCCTCCCCCAGTGCTCCAGGCCAAGCCTCACTCCCTACGTGGCTGGGCTGAGTTCCCGAGGAGGAAGTGTGGTTGTCACCACCCGTGATCGTGGCCATTACTGGGAATTAGGTCCGAACCTGTCACAAAATCATGATTATTGTGGGTCTTCGGGAGCAGGTAAGATAAAAATTTAAGGAGGGCAGGTAGGGGCAGTAGGGCATGGTGGGGACTGCGGCAGACTGCTGAGTTCTTGCTCTGTCAAAAGGCAATGGGAGTCAACTTGCACGTCCTCACGCTGCCAGAAGACACCTTGGGCTGCAGTGAGGCTGGCCGGCTGGCAAGGCTGGGGCCCTGGAGCAATGTGGACCCAGTCCCGAACCCCTTCCCACCCCTGCTGCCAGGCCTGGGAATCCCGCGAACTCGATGTGTCTGAGGTGTGACTCAGCCACTGCACCTTCTTGGCTTCCTCAGCCCCGGGAGAGGAAGGGCAGCCTGCCTTCACCTCTGGCTCCCCCAGAGACTGCTGAGAGAGACCAGGGTCCCTAGGCGGCTCTGCCTGCTGTGTGCTCCAGCCAGGCCATCACTTGCCAGCCCTTTCGAAGGGCCCCACCTTGGCCTTCATTTTCCTTCATGAAGCAGAAGCCCCAAACCCTTCTGCAACTGTGGGCCTCTGAGAGCCCCCCAGCCCCATGTGGGAACTCTGATGCAGTTTAGGCTGCCTCTGGCCTCTGTCTGAATGTCCAGGGTCCTGGAGCCCCTCACCTGTGCCCCACTCTGCCCGGAGATGTGGACCCCTTGCTGGCAAAGTAGGTCTGCGTGGGCTGAGATGTCCCATGGAAAGGCCGTCTGTCCCTGAGGGGAGGCGGAGCACACAGGACTCTGTGTCTGCTGAGTGGGGCTTGGCCCGGGGACGTCCCTGCTCCCTGTGACACCTGCTGTGTCTGCCCGACACAGGCCCTGGGAGCACCGCAGGGTGGGGATAGGGGGCTGAGCTTTGACGGCCCGGCCTGGCCTGTAGTTCACCCAGCATCCAGCCCAGGTCGGTTCCCCTCGTACGCTGTGCTCTTTCCCTTTGGACTGGAAGTGTGTCATCTGAGGGTCCATCACCCAGACCCCCGCGGCTGGAGGCACAAGCTTAGGAAACATTTCTGGAAAAGTAAGTTTGGAGGACAGCAGAGAATGGTGGGTGCCATGAGGGAGGAACTCAGGTAGGTTACCAGGAGGGTTGTGCGGGCTGGTGGCCTTCTAGGAAGAGGCGGTAGGCAGCCCCCTCATCGAGTCGTCTAAGGGCCCCTTGCTGCTGCGTTCCTGCATCTGAAGTGGGGCCTTGTCCGTGCCCCCCCCATGCTGGCACCAGGACTCTCGCCTGCCCCCTCTTCTCTGTGGGCAGTGGCGAGGTCCCTGCGGGTCCCGTCTCCGAATCTCTGCAGCTGCCAGGGGTCCTGTGTTCCCCCATGTGTCCCACTGGCCCTGTTCAGCCGGAATTTTGTTTGGGCCCTTCCAGTGCCCACAGCGTCCTGTCGCTCCCCAAAAGCACTTGACATTTCCTGGATTTTGGGGATGGTTGCCCGGGGACTTGGCTCTGACGCACCCAGGAAAACCAGGACATCTTCGGATTGTGGGGTACTCTGTGTGACGTGGGCTGGCGTGCTTCCCAGCTCCTCTGCTCCAGGCGGGAGCTGAAAGGGACAGCCCCCACAGCGGCTTGAGTTGCTCAAATTAAAAGTCAGTGCCAATGGCCAGTGGGACCTCCGAGTGGGGTCGTGGGCATGCAGGTCCAGGTCAGCGTGGGCTCAGTGCCGGAGGCTGGGTCCTCGGGGCTTCAGGGAGACCAGGGGCTGTGGCCAGCTTTCTGACTTGGGGTGGAGGCCCTGTGCAGGCCTCTCACAGCCCCTCCTGTGTCCCTTTAGGGGGAGGGTTTCGGTCCCATGGGGGCCCTGCTGTGGGGATGCTGGGGAGGCCCCTGCACCTCACCAGAGGAAAGCCCTGTGAGCGGTCAGCATCTCCCCACAGCCCTCTGTGGACCCTGCCCGGCCCCCACCGGAGCTGACACACAAGCTTGTTAGCCTAAGGGTTATCTCTGAGATGAGGTCGCAGGAGTTTTGTTTTACTTTCCAGGTTTCCAAAGTCAGACTGAAAATGCATTGATTTTTTAGGTAGGGGAAACTCAAATGTGTAAAACAGCAAAGAAAATCATTTCAGCACTGCTGTGGTCTTAGGTGAAATCCAGGCTCCTTGACCTAGAGGCCCAAGTCCTGCTGGCTGCTGGGTAGACAGCGCGGGTTAATGAAACCACTGCCGAAAGCCCACTAGCTTCTCACGTGAGCGAACGACCACACAAATGCACACAGCCTAAAACGACCATGCCCACGTGCGCCTGGTGTGGCCCAGGGACCCGACTTTGGATAAGGCTGAAGGAGCAGCAGGAATTCTGTCTCATCAGAGACATGCACCTCTGGAAACAAATGAAGTAGAGCTCACAACAGCCCGGCGCGGGGGCCCGAGGTGGGGGGAGAACCCCTCGAAGGGGTGACTAGGAGGCCTCTCAGACGGCCCAGCCTTCAGAAACTCCGGACTCCAGCTCCTGGGGCTGTGTCTCCCCACACCCAGGCCCCATATCCATATCCGGGGTCTCCATCCCCATGCCCAGGGGCCTGCACAGTGACCTGTTTGGACAGCTCAGGCCAGGTTGGGGGCTGCCTGGCTGGAGCTGTCCATTCACCTTCCTCCCACAGACACTCCCACCTGCATCTGGGACTTTGGGAGGGGGCGAGTCGTTTCCTCTCTGGTCACATGCTCGGGTCCAGCTCTGCCCAGCGAGGCCAGGGTTGGCAGTCTTGGAAAGGCTCTGGTTCTGCTGTTTCCAAGAGTTGGGGCAGCTGTGCGGGTGTCCACCTGAACACCTGGTTCTTCTTAACCAGAAGCAGAGTGACTTCCCCACTTCCCCACGGATCCCACCCCCACCCTGATGCAGACGCCCAGCAGGCCTGCTGAGCCCTGGGCTGCGGGAGAGCCGGCCCCGCCTGTCACGGTCCCGTGAGATAACGACCCTGGTTTCTCTGTCACCCTCTCTTCCCAGGGATTCCCAAGTCTGCGACCCCTTCAAACTGTACAATTTAAGAAGTCTAAAACATTTTCCTGAGTTAATTTCCTCTGTGAAGTCAGAAAAAAGTCAAGCTATAAAAATTGGATCTTAATCTGTGCTTCCTGACTCAGAAATGGGTAAACTACTTTCATCAAAGCTTCCATAAAACGTCAGCTTTGAGAAGGACGTGAACTGGAAAGTTCCAGCCTCCACGGCAACAATGACCTGAAAATTTGCTTGTAATGTTTGTGTTAGTGTTGACTTTCATACATTTTTAAAAGGCAGTGGGCGTTTTAAATTTATTTGTTTGGTTTTTGCATCAAATGAGGGCTGGCACTTCTAAGCTGTAAAGAACTTCTGTTTGGTACAAGCAGAGGGATTTTCCACTCTTGCAAATCTCACTGTCCAGAGCCCCAGTGCCTCCTTTGCAGGCCCAGTGGTCAGTCAGCTGGGCTGGCCCTCCCAGAGCAGAAGCTGGGAGACTCACTAGGTCTGAGGGATAAGTGCCCAGAGTGGGGACCTGCACGCAGTGACCTGGTGCCCATGGTCCACCCAGGCCTGGCGTTAGTCAGTAAGCAAAACCAAGAAGGGAAGAGGAAGCTCCTGGGGGAACCTGGAGATGCCCCATGGCAGCGGTGCTGCGCCCCGACCCCTTCACTGCGCTCGCCTGGGCTGGGGATCTGCTTCACCCCAGCTGGTGGGCAGGTCCAGAAGCCCTCGCTTCGTGAGCCATGTCCCAAGACCCCCTCCCAGGATGCTGTGTTTGTTGCCATGTTAGAAGTGAAGGGCTCCTTGAGACTGTTAACGATCTTGTGACCCGGCAGTGGAGTGTATGCGATTATTAAGCTAAATCGTACCAATTTTCAGCTTTCACTGAAGTTATCCTTCCCTGATGAGCCCTGTGATGGGCAGGTGTTGTCCCCACTGTGGCTAGACCGGAGACGGGGCCTCTAGGCTGTCATCAGGGTGGAAGGAGGTCCTGGAGGATCAGCGTCTGCGTAAGAAGAGGCCCCAGGGCTCTGCCTCGCTCTCTGTCCTGTGCGCTCTGCCCCGTGCGAAGGCAGAGTCAGGAGGTGGCTGTCTGTAGCCCGGAGAAGAGCCCTGGCTGGAAGCTGAGCGTGGGCTTCTGGCCTCCAGACCATGAGAAAGTAAGAGGGGTTTTGTCAGAGCAGTCGAGGGCCTAAGAGGCCGTGTGGTGAGGAGGGAGGGTTGGGGCCTGAGTGTCCTCTCTGCATGTGGAGCACTCGGGGGATCCCTCCCCACTGGGGCTGTGAGGTGGACTGGCGCAGCATTCACCTTCCAGCTATTCAGCTGCTGCGGGAGCCCCTTCCCTCATCACTGTCACTTCCTGGAAGACAGCCTCCCCTCCCCGGGCCATTTCCAGCACAGACACACTTGTCCTGGGTCTTGTCAGGGCATTCAGAGCAGGGAGCCGGCCCTGCTGTGTGGACACCGCCTCCTACCCCGGGCCCCAGGCAGAAAGATCACCCTGGGTCATTTCGTGCTTGTTTTGTTTCTCCCATAATCTCTTAATTGCTTCCGAGTCTGGCCCGGGGAGGGGAAGGCGTTGGTTCCCTCACTTATTTGTCCACTCTGCTGGTACCAGCGTCC